GCCACCAGTCGCGACCGCCCGCCACTTGCGATCTCCGTCTCAACCGTGCGTCCGTTGAGTCTGTTGGGCTCCTCCCACCCTTCGGTCTCGTTCTTCTCATGTTGAAGCTGGCCACGTGCCAACTGACCGTCTGCTGGAAGATCGTGTTCCTTCCACGCTTCTCTGGCTGACCCCGTCACCAACTTGTTACATCTCTGTTGATCTCGAACAAAGCTCTTGGTATTCTTGCGATCGCTCGGGATGTTCCATTTCGCGAAATCATCATTACTGATCTTAGTGGATTTGGGAGACATATCGTAGTCAGCGAACAGCTTGTGGATATACGTTTTCAGTTGGCCAGTCATACCGTAAATACTGATGGGGTTCAGTTGCTGCTTGTCCGTCGCAATATTATGAAAAGATTGCTTCTTGGATTTATTATGAAGGCGGATTGAGGCTGGTATGATCTTCTGACGTCTCAGCGTCAATGACCCTACCCTTCTTTGCGTCTGTTCTCATTGATATGGCGAATGACCTTCGAATATGAGTTAAGATAAATCAGATTGTCAGCACTACCATCAATATCACGGTACGGCTTGAACAAGAAGGCAGCTTGGTTTTTAAGAGTTGTAGCGGCAACCGTCTTACTAGATAACAGGAATTTAACGAAATCGTCACGGGAGAGCATTGTAATTCGGACAGAAATCTCTGATATGGGTATTATACTAGGTGAGGCAAAGCTTAAATATAAAAAATATTACATCAGCTGATAATGTTTTTTTTTTGCAACTACTGTTATCAGTCTCGCTCTTGATATGAGTACTCAGCATTGAGGATATATTCGATCTTAGTTCGGTTTACGCGATTGTAGTCTTTACAACATCCCTTGATATGTTTCCTGCGGCATGATTTACATATATTCTCATTAGCAAATATGATTCGATCATCGGCATTAATTAAAGATTGGATATCCATAGCTTGTTTCGGGGACTAAACCGGACTATACTTTTTTTTAATATACACTCGGAACATGCGTGCGAGATCTGCTTTGAGAATGATCTTCGGTTCCTCTCCTTCAACTGGATCGCTGTATTTGATATGAGCTGTAGCGAACTGATAGTTCTCGTTGATAGAGCCACGTAGCAGATCACGACTTTCAATAAAATGATTGGGACTGAAAGTATACATATTTTGACCAGCATATTTCTGATAATATTGCAGGTAGGTCGAGCGGGATCTATGAATAAACGTTGTAAATTCAGTTTTCATAATCTTGTTTTGTAGAAGCATGTCAGGGATAGCATTAGCAAAATGGGCACTCAAGATACAACGAATGATCTCACCCAATGTATCGCTGTAATCGAGAAGCTCGTTGCTATTGATTACAGTCGGTATATCCAAGATTCAACTTCAATCAAGTGTTTGCTTTTCACGGGACAAGAGATTCTACCTCGGCTCTGCATGGACAGAAAATCGGATTTCGGCAAAATCTTGGCAATGTTACGAGACATATCATCTGATGTAACAATCTGTTTTTTTTTTTTTTAGCAAATTCACACAAACCAAAACGGTCTTGAAATGAGCTCCCCAGAATACCAACTTGCGCTGATCC